ATTTAAAAGTAAATTAATATTCACACACATCAATTTCCTTTCCTTCTGTAATACCTCTGAAATGCACGCAGTCACTCAAAATGTTCACCACAGGGAAAACCACCCCGCTTGTGTTTCTCACATGTTTGCATGTAACTACCTTTTTTTTTTTGCACACCAAAACCCGACAATACATCGTCAGCAAATCAGTACATCGTGTCCCTAGAGTGTCACGTTCCGAACGGGAGGGAAATACCGAATCACGGTGTCGAATAGGTTGCCTATGGCCACGGCGTTACCCCGCAGTGAAACCATGCTGGTTACTCACTTAGCATAGTCCCACTTGCGGATCATGTAGTTCACATCTTCCGCTGCATCCATCGCGTTCGGAGTTTGTCGCCCAGGTTATTGTCTTTCACTTCAGAGCCACAGGCACAGAGAGTCACAACCGCAGCCCCTCCTCACGAGTGCGCCGCGTGCCGCTCTGGCGTGTGTTGCAGGCGGAGCATGGTGGCGAGGTCCCAGGCGGCCCGCACTGCCGGCCTCATCGTCGTCGGGGACGAGGTGCTCAGCGGCTCCGTGGCCGACACCAACTCGCACTTCATCGCGGAGAGCCTGCACCGCCTCGGCGTGCGCCTGCTCAAGGTGGCCGTGCTGCCCGACGACGTGGAGGCCATCGCCGCGGAGGTCCTCGAGTTCTCGCAGTGAGTGTCAGTTCAGGGCGAGGAAGGGCCCCGAGGCCCTGGGGCCGGGCGCCGGCGGATAGGCAGCCCATCGTACGCGGCCTTAAGTGGTGCGGCCTACGTCACTGCCTGCGTCACAGCCCCTGGCAGCGTACTCGTCTTCAAATTATCTTTTTAAACTATGGACCTTGCCGGGCTTAACGAAAAGTCCGCTTCCTAAGGAATAAGCGTCGTACGATATGGTTCCAAGTTAGTCGATTTACGATGCAGCATTAAACTACTTGAAGCACACTGTGTTCGTAGGCGCTTCGACGTCGTCTTGACGAGCGGGGGAGTCGGCCCGACGCACGATGACAAGACGTACGAGGCCGTGTCCAAGGCGTTCGGGCTGCCGCTCCACTTTAACGCCGACGTGGCCGAGATGGTGGCCGGTCGCCGCGGGTGCCCCGGCGCGGCGGCGGCCGGCCTCTCGGCCCAGGACGTCGTCCAGAACCCCGCGCTCAAGATGGCGCTCGTCCCAGCCACCTGCAAGCTGCACCGCATTCGAGACACCCGGGACACCACCATCACCAAGCCCATCGTCCAAGTGCACAACGTGTTCATTTTCCCAGGCAGGTTGCATGTCGCCCTGCTCCCGCACCTTCCTGGCCCCGGGTCTTTCCCGTCCCATCCTCCTGCTGCCCCGTGTTTGCTCGACGTGTGATCCTGTCCTGCTTTTAAATTCCAGCTTGATGCACAAATTTCTCACACACTTTGTTTTTTTCCCAGTTGCTCGCCTCGCCTCACCGCGCGCTATCGCCTCTTGTCAACAGGTTCACCCGCTAACCTGAGGCGCGCGTTCGCCCAGCTGGAGGGGGACATCCGGGGGGAGTCGGCTGTCCACTTCCACTGCAGGGAGATCTACCTGAACGTGGACGAAGACGTCATCGTGCCGCCCCTCAACCTGGCCGTGGACAAGTACAAGGATTCGGCAAGTAATTCTCCTGATTGTTGAGTTGAGATTGCATCATAATGATCCCGATAACTGCCAAACGAGTGTCGCCCATGATTCACGCCGACCTGAGAGCAAAGGAAGCGCGTTGTCATTACCACTGTATCTCTTGTGATGCGAGAGACGCGACGCGTGACCTGATGTGCCATTTTAGTTATCTCTTTACGCGACGCTTAGTCTGCGTGGCGGTGTTGGGCCAGTACGGGCCCAAGTCGCGGCCGGGTCGCGCACCTATGTCACGCACCTCGGTCCCGCATGGTTAGCCTCATTCGTCTTAATTCCTCCTCCGAAGGCTTGACTGACTAGGCGTCGAAATGGAAAACAAGGTATTTGTAGAGACATCCGTTGGTGGCATTTCGTGAGGTGCTTCAAAGTTTACGACTTGCCGCGTCAGGGTAGTGTGCACGTCACACTGTTTGCCAGGTCAATGAAGGCGTGTGGGGAGGGCGGAGGGGGGAGTTCAAGAAAGTCGAAGAAAGTAACAGCGGGTCGCTGGCCACGGAATGCACGCTGAATGGAGTACGTTCTTCTGCTGCCGTCCAGGTCACCTTCGGCTCGTACCCCAACTGCGGCCAGTGGTCGTTCCCGACCAAGCTGACGCTCGAGTCGACGAGTTGGGAGTCGCTGCACGCCGCCACCGACTACCTGCTCGGCAGGCTGCACCCGGGCTGGGTGCGCGGCCTCAGCCCCGCGCCCATGGAGGCCCTGCGCCTGTACGCCGAGGCCGCGCCCGACCCGCTGTTCCGCACCGCCCTGGGCGACAGCCTGCGCGTGCTGGACGAGTGCTGCGAGCGCTACGCGCCCGACCAGCTGGTGCTGTGCTTCAACGGCGGCAAGGACGCGACGGTGCTGCTGCACCTGGCGTGCGCGGTCATCCGGCACCGCCACCCCGAGTACAGGGACCGGCCCCTGCACGCCTTCTGGGTGCACTCGTCGGACCCGTTCCCGGAGGTCGTCACCTTCGTCCGGCGCATGGTGGAGGAGTGAGTACAGACTGCCAGCCACGTTCACCCACAAATTGCTGCTCACTGCAAACGACGTCTAAAATTCGCGCGTCTGTTTCGATTTCAGGTACAACTTGAATCTCGAAGAGCTCGCCGGTCCGATTAAAGTCGGCCTGGAGAAGTACCTGGGCGACAAGCCGCACATCAAGGCGGCCTTGATCGGGGTCCGTCGTACTGATCCGTACTCGTCGAAATTGGCGGCTTTTCAGGTACGTTGAACGGCCCAGTGTCTGCAAAGCGTGAAACCTTATGGCATGGTAAAATGTTTTTCTTGAATTTCAAGGTTATGTCATGAATTTCAAGGATGGGTGCATAACTTTAATGGCGAACCTTAAAGTCCTTCACTTCAAGGGCCACTACCCGCATCCTTGAAATTAATGAGATAAAAAATGACCTCGAACTTCAAGAAACACTTTTTCATAGCGTGGGAACCCCGAGTATCCTTTATCATCCCCTTTAGAAAATTGGTGCGCGTGATGCGTGTCCGTGTCCTGACGGTACGGGGGGCGCCGTAAAGGACTGAGGGGGGGGGGGGCTCCCCCTTCGCCGAGTCTCACCCAAAGGGGTGGGGCGTTGGCTTATCGCCCACCCCTGGGGGACACTTTCCCCTCCTCGATCCAGTTATTTCCTCTCTGTTTTAATTTCCCCGCGCCGCGCACGCGGCGTGCGTGACGCGTATATAACGTGACGCACGTACTACTTGTTTTCTGTTTGTTATTATTTGTTTTATGTTGTTGTTTTTTTTCGCGAAGAAAGCGCCCTTTGTTACGTGACACAATAACCACCTACCACACCCTCACCTTGTGCAGGAGACGGACGAGGGCTGGCCGGCGGTGATGCGCGTGTCCCCGCTGCTGGACTGGAGGTACGCCGACGTGTGGACGTTCCTGCGCGGCCTGCACCTCCCCTACTGCAGCCTGTACGACCAGGGGTGAGTGTCCACACCACACACACACGCACACAACGCCGGGCAGGCGGTTGTCTCCCCGCGTATGAGGCGCATCATACACCTGTGTATGTGACTGGCTCGGCCCTCCGGTCCCTCTAGCCCTCTGCCTTTGTCCAGCCCCTGCCGCCCTTATTTTTAGCTGTTCGTGACTGCATGGGAGCTCCACTTGCCCCCATAGCAAAGCCCTCTGCCAAACGGCACATACCCCCGCCTCCTTTTCCTTCTCCCTTCTCAAAGTATTCCGGTTTGTTAAATATATTACTGTTTGCGCCCAGTCGACCTTCTTGCAAATATCTTTGTTTTCTAAAAATTATTTTGGTCTTTCGTTTTGGAGAAGCACGAGTGAGGGGGCGTTTTTTTGTCACGTGCGTGTGTACCGTTTCCAGCCTTATTAATATAGTTGCCTATTAATCGCGTGGTACGAGCAACACGCTTATGTCTTGGTCGTTTGAGGGCGTGGTGGGCCTAACATGTCAGCTCTTCCCCCGAACCCTCTCCCGCGCCTCGCCCCTCTGGACAACGAGCGTGTAATGCTAGTATGGTGTGAGGAGGGGTTGCAGGGGAGAGAGGGCGCGGGGGGTCAGATCAGTAAATTAGACTTGGCCGCCCGGCCCCCCGCGGCCCCCAGCCTGTCCTGTCGCTGGGTGGAGTCGCTGCCCCTCCCACCCCACATCGCCACGCGCCACTTGGCTCGCCCGCTCGCAAGCAAGCGAGTTTGCATGCCCCGCCACTTCAGGCCTAGGCCACTTTTCTGCGGTATATCGAAAAATAAAAATGATACTCGATACCTCAGAGCGAGAACCGCTCAGTCTCTGCAGGAAAGCCTATTATACTGAGCGGTTCTCGCTCTGAGGTATCGTACTCCGTGGCGCACAGACTTCCCTCCCTCTTGTCACGCGGGCCAAGTGCCCCGCCGCTCGCTCGCGCTCTCTTTCGTGACTGCGCGAGTCCATTCGCTCCGGGCCGGGCCGGGCCGGGCCGAGACACGGAAGGGCGGAAGACGTGTCGTAAAATCCGCTCCTCGCCTTGGCAATGGCCCGCCGCGGGCTCCTTGGTGGCGTCATCGAGCCGAGGGGGCCTCTGTGATGTCTGTATGCGTGTGAGTGAGAGAGACTAGAGAGACCCTCGCGCCCTTACCCGCTTCTCTTCTTACCTCTGCCGGAAGTCCGCAAGGCTGTAACTCGCTCTTCTCCAACACGCCACACGCCGCGTAATGATTCGACGCTAGCCTGGGCCCCGAAAAGTAATCGGAAATCGGGTCGTGGCTCTCTCTGAGAGTGTTTTCGATGCTGAACACGACGGTCTTTGGCTGACTCGTCTCCGACGTCGGGAACCCACCGTTAAAGCAGTTAAAGATTTGGGTCCGCGGGCCGCGGGGGCACCAAGTCGGGTGGTGTGCCTCGCGGACGGCCGCCGCTGCGGCAGCGCGCAGCGCAGGTAAGTCACAATCACATAAAATATACCCTAGGAGGTTCTCTTTCGAACGATACGTGTCCGACCGTGGTGCAATATGTCGTTCGCCCTGTTGAGCGAATGAAAGTCACCCGTTCGAGTTATAGGCTCTATGGAAAACCTCGCTCGCATTTTCGATGTTTTTTGCAGCGCAGAATCCTTGCAAAGGTTGTACAAACACATCGGCCCCAATCGGCCAACTCCAACCGATCGCAAAACGTGCAGATTTTGGCCCAGGCTATTCGACGCCTCTGTTGTTATGTTGGGAGGGAGACGCGCGTGGCCTCGTGGGGGTTGGTCGCGATGGGGCTGGACGAGTACGCGTCGACCGGCGCCGGTGATCCCCGCCCTGACTGCCGCCCGACATTTACAGATGTCCGAGTGACGGGGCCTTAAGGGGCGCCGGGGCCGGGCCGGGGAGGTCCTGCGGGCCTCCTCACACGGAGTCGCCGTGTCGGTCTGTCGGCTGGGCTAACCCCCTCTTTGTTATTTCGATGATGACAAAATCAATGGTCAGGGCGCCCCGAGCGACTTTCGTGGGGACGGGGACGGCGTCACGCTTTAAATAATTCGGAAATCTTATCATTCTTCAACAAAGTTCTTTATCCTCATGCAGTATAGCCCCAAGCATTTTTCTTTTCATTTTCATTTTTTTTTTTTTTTATCATGGCTCGGCTGGAACCCGACATGCATGGCGGTGACTTTGCCCGACCGACCGCTCACACAATTATCTAAAGTCAACATATTTAATTTATCCCATCGCGCTTTATGGTGTCTGTGGTGCTGATGAGGTTGGGCTTGTCACCATCCGTCCGCACGGCCTTGTTGACTAACGTGGCGTGGCGCGGCGCATGGCGTGGCGGGCCGGGGCGTGGCAGGATCGAGCCTGGCGGGGCGGGGCGGGGCGCCGGGGCGTTCTATGTGCGGCGGGCTGCCTATATAGCTTGCGGAGGTCGCGCGGTAGTCGCGGTCAGGCCTTCGTGCGGCACGGTTCTGTCCGGTCGGGTGGATATGTCATAGGTTGACGAGTGCCCCGCGGCCCGTCTCGTCTGCCAGCTCGAGGGCGTCCATGCGGCTGTGCCGGCCGTGCGCCTCTGGTCGACATGGCGCCCGAGGACTGTCGCCCGCGTTCGATGGGCCCTGAGCATCGCCCGGCACCGCCCGCACGCCGCCGAGTCACTGACGTCAACACGACTTGAGCGACGCTCCGCCGGCCTCGACATGGATTCCTCCATCATGAAGTCGCCCCTAGAAGCGCCCGCGCCCGCGCGCCCCGCACCGGCACACCTGCGCTGAGCGGGGCGGCCGCCGCCATGTGGCGTGCTGGGCGGGGCGCGGGGCGCGCCGCGGGGGCCGCGCCAGGGCCTCGGCGGTAGGCGGGGTGCTCGAGGACATGCAGCCAGGATGCCCGCCCTGCTCGGAATGCTCGGCGGGGCTGACGCTGACGGGGCTGCGCGGCGACGTGGTGCTGACCACGCGTCGCGTCGGCTACCTGGAGACACGGCGGGCGCCGCCACCCGCGGCCGCGCCCGGGGCCCCGGAGACGGGCGGGGCTCCGGTAGGGGCGGCGGCCGCGCTGCGGCGCTGCTGCACCTCCTGCTGCCTGCCGCGAGGCTGCCGCCCCACCGCGGCCGTCACCCCGGCCACGCCCGATGCCCCCTACGACGACACCCCGATCACCACCGTCACCACCGTCACGCCATGCACGCCGCCGCCCGGCGCGCTGCCGGAGCCCGACCCTCCCGAGCACCCCGGTGACGGCGACGGCGACCGCGCCTTCCTGGACTTCGCGGCGCGCGAGTCGCGGTGCGGGGCGCGGTGCGCGGCCCCGTGCCTGCCGCTCAGCCCGTGCAGGGCGCGGTGCGTGCCGAGCAGCGACCGGGTGTCCGGGCTGCGGGAGCTGGAGGGCCGCTGCTGCACCGTGCTCGCCATCGTCACCTTCATGGGCATGGTGGTGGGCCTGGCCATCTTCTCGGACCCGCTGCTGCTCGACCTGTCGACGCGCCTGCAGCGCGCCCGCTGCCTCACCATCAACTACTCCATCCCGCTGGGCGCCACCAACTGCACGTGGGCGTCGTGCCGCGAGAGCTGCACCACGCAGGCCTTCAAGTGCCCGCAGATATACGTCAACTACACGCTAGTGTCGGAGGTAGCGCCGCGGGTCTTCGAAGGGCCACCAAGACGGACCTCAGTGTGTGCTTTATTCCCATGAGCACGAGTTGTTTTTGTCCGAGGTCTGACGAGGACGTAGCCATAGCTAACAACCCTCGGGTGCGGTTATTTGTTTGCCCCCTCGTTAAAGCTACCGAGGCTGCCTAGCAGTAGCGCACTCTCGTTCACACATGTTGGGGTCCCGCGTGAGCCCCTCGCAATCACTCCAGGACCCGTCGCGCTTACGGACCATCCCTCCGCCGCCGTGGGGGGGCCGCCTATTCATTTGCAATGAAGCCACCCGTGGGAGCCACGCAGAGATCGACCCGCCGCACGGCTGGCCAGTGGCGGGGCCCGGGGGCCACGGGGGCCAGTCCAGGCCGCGCGGGCCCGGCCCGGCCCATCCCAAAACCCGACTAAGTTTGTTTATCCGCTTCCACCGTTTTCCACTGATTCCGGGAAGTGGAGCCGCAGCCACCCACGGCGTTTGTTTGAGTGATTAGGAAAAGGGTATAATGGGGGTGTGCGGGCGCCCCTTTCCCCTGCCCACTCCCCCTCGCCCCGTGCATACGCAAAGCGTCATATTGCGTGAATTGGGATCGCTTGACGAGCCTGGACATACATGATCGACTAGCCAGGTCGGTCGTAGGTCTTGTCGTAGGTCATAGGACTTTTGAATATGGGACACGGACCCGGGCTGCCGGAGACGCAACTTTCCGGTCAACTTTTATCTTGTTTTAT